CTTGGTCACTCCTATGATGGACAGCAGCAGAGGGATCTGGAAGTAGATGGAAGGGAGGGCTTGGTCACTCCTACGATGGAGCAGCAGGAAACAGGAAGTTGGGTGGCAGGTGGGAGGGGAATGAGCCTCCTGCACCTGGATAGGAGACTGCAGAGGGCACTGTGCCCTGGCCCTGCCATCTCACAAAGTGGCCTTTGCACCTGCCCTAGGCCTCTGGGCATCTCCCAGGCACATCAGAAACACGCAAGTTTGCCTTGTCAGAAAGGTGGCTGGAGGATCTGCTGTTGGTTGTAGAACCTTTGAAAAACATTGTTGGAAGTACTGTATCACTTGTAATAGGAAATTAGATTCTTCATTTGAGTCTTCCCATCTACCTTTAACTATAAAGGTAGTTATAGTTATTATAACTCTATACTTTAACTATATACATTAAATACATAATGCATCACACAAAAGGTGATTTGATTATTTCTCACAAATGAAAATGACTTATTAAACAAGCACTGAAGAGAAAAGCTGTGCGTGGTGGCACGCACGGGTAGTCCCAGCTGAGGTAGGAGAATCTCAGAAAGTTTGAGGCCAGCGTGGGCTATGTAGTGAGACCCTGTCTCTACAAACAAACAAACGGGTGGGAGATATAGCACAGTGGCTCAGCGCTTGCTTGGCAAACGTGAGGCTGTGAGTTCAATTCCTGGTACCAGTAAAGACCAACAAATGAATAAATAAATAATGAACCAGAGAACCATGGAAAGGGGTGCTCTACAGGGATTGGGAATGTCGTGTAGCACGGGGGTAACATGTGCATCTACTATGCTTGAAGCCTGGGTTTAGTGCTTGGCACAGCAAAAGTAAAAGTAAAAGGAGAGATGTTCAACATGAAGTTAGCAGTAGCTATCTCTGGCCACAAAATTCATAGAACATTAATTCTTTTTTTTTTTTTCTTTTTTAAAACTGAATTTGTGGTGCTCAGGTCAAACCTAGTGCCGTGCATATGCTAAGCTTTCTACCACCACGCTATGCCCCTGCTGTGAAGTTTTTGCTAATCTTTTTAAATGCATTTTAACATGTCTGTAAGAATAAATGTTAAATTTGTCAATTTGTCAATGCTAAAATATATTTTAAAATAACACTAGACATTATTTCATAATAGAGAAACCCTTCAGAAATGCAGTAGTTAAAGCCAGGCCTGACACACCTGTCATCCCAGTGCTCCGAGCTGAGATAGGAGGATCACTGTGTGTTCAAGACCTGCCTGAATTGCACAGTGAGACCCTGTCTCAAAGAGATGACAAAAACATATTGTACCCGAACTAGTGAAATCCAAATCGGGAGTGTAGTTCCTGATGTATCAGTGCTGTTTTCCTAGCTGTGGCAGACGTCCTGAGGCCCTGTCTGATGCTGCAGGGGGACCACGGGGCTTGTCTGCACTAAATAAACCTGAAACTCAAATCCACACACAAGCTATGAAGAGAGATTCCCTAGAGCCCGTGAGAAGCTGAGTGCCCGGATGGGGGTGATGGCCCAGTGATTCCCTGTGACTGTCACTTGCCTGCTGTGCTGGGGGCTTATCGAGAGTCGTTCCTGTGGAAGTTTTTTTTTTTTTTTTTTCTTTTTTTTTTTTTTTTTTTTGTATTTTTAGGGAAGGGTCTACAGGGTGTTCAGGGTCTCACTACAAGGTCAGACTCATAGTGATCCACCTGTTTACAGCCTCCCAAGAGCTGGGATTGCAGGCGTGCACCACCAAGCCCGGCCTCAATTGCTGTCTCAGTGTGCCCTGGCGTCGGGGCCAGCATGGCAGGCCCAGGGGAAGTTCATGTTTGTAATCCCAAGGAAAAGTTAGTGGAATTCTAGCGAGTTAATTCTAAGCTACCACACTCAGTGCAACACATAGCAAGAATAACGACACTAAGGCATACATGGAATGTGGAGAACCAAGGGGTCATAAATCCAGCTAGGATGATGGCTAAGTGCACAGAACAAAGGCCTAGTCCCTGGGGCAAACCTGGGTTTTATTCACTCCTTGAAAAGGGGCATGGCTCAAGAGTGACTGGCTGCAAGAATGACAGGAAGTAGTTGAGTGCTGTGAGCTGGGCTAAACAGGAGCCCCCAAATCAACTCTACAATATGCAGAGAGAATGATTTGCAGGAAAAGTGATCTGCCTAACACCCCGAGGTAGTGTCCAGTGTCTTTGGGGTTGGTGCTTTACTTCTCATGTGTAGAGATCTTTTTGTGCCCTGGCAAATCTTAGCGTCTCTCTGACTGCAGCAGACAAGCACAGAGCACTTTGCACCTGGCTCACATGTGCTGTTTGGGAGCTCAGGGACAGGGTAATACTGGCCTGTCACCTCGTTTCAGTCACTGCCCATCAGCACCTTGGCTGGACCCTTGGACATTGCTTAAAGCCAATTGAAATTATAGGGAAAAGTCCTAACCAGCAACGTGCGCTTCAGTACGCAGACATAGGGCCAGGTTTATCCCAAATGGAGGTAATTGCTCTTCTTCCATGAAGAGTCATCCAGAGGGTCCTCTGTGGGGGCTGCATTGCCAGGACTTCCTGCTCTGTGGTGGGGCCCACAGGGCTAAGTGGCATTGACATCCTCCCTTGTTCTCGACAGTGGCATCATTGCTGAAGGGAAGAAAAGGCATTTACACAGAGAACGAGAGGCAGATGGGAGCCATGATCAGGATCAGATTTTTCAAAATCATGCTGGTTTTGGTGGCTTGGTAAGTTTTCCTCTTTGTCTTCATCTGCCAGAGGTTGGGAAGGGAGATGGCACCATCTTGCCCCTCTGATTTTCCAAGGGTGACCTGGGTGTTCCAGAAGGAGGGGCAGGTAGGGACACCTTTGAGACCTTGCTTGGCAGGAAGGGACAGGGAAGCAAGCCAGGAGGTCAAGAATTGCTAAAGCATGTCTGTTTTGTCTTTTGTTGTTGTTTGCTTTCTTGAGACAGGGTCTCACTTTACAGCTCAGGCTGGCTTCAAACTCCCAGTGATCCCCCGGCCTCAGCATCCCGAGTCCTGGGTTGACAGGCGTGCGCCACTACAAGCAGCTTAGAAAAGATACTAAATTTACTCAAACTGTCTCTAAAGCCTTGAGAATAAAAGGTCCCAAGTCTGGTTTTGAACTTTCTCCACCGCACACCTGCAGTACCTCGGCCCATTGCTGCTTTGATCTGAGGAAGGGGATTGGCTGTGTTTCTCAAGTGCTTCAGTGTGCCCTGGGCACCACCATGTGTTTCCGCCCACAGTCGTTTTGCCATCCAAGGAGGGGACCTCACCAGCTGAGCAGTTGTTCCCTCCCCAGCTCCCCAGCCTGGTCTTCTGCCCAACAGCTTGGGTGGCCACATTGTTGTTAGGCAAGAGGCATGACAGGACCTGGCAGCCTTTGGGCACTGCTGTCCCCTGGCAAGCGGAGACCTGTGGGACTCCTGGGAGCGCTGGACGTCTGCCCCCTCTTTGGTCTTCACTGCCAGCCCCGAGGCATGTCTCACAGTTCCAACAGAAAAGGCAGATCAGATTTTGGTGTCCATGAAGATCTGAGGCCACCCCTAAGGGACAAATGCCAGGTGTCTAAGCCCGTGCTGGTGCCCAACCCTGCGAGGTTCCCTTGAGCATCCACACAGGCGAATTTGGTCACCCTTGCACCACCCCAAGGGCAGGAGCTGCATTTCTTCTAACTAAATTCCAGCTGTGCAGGTTTGTTCCTTCTGGCTGATGTAGTCAGGCCTCTGTGCAGAGTTGGTGCCTCTGGACGGGGACAAACGGGTCCCTGACCCTAGGTGTGGAAGTGAGATCATACTGTGTGTTCTCTTCTCCCATGGCCCGCTTCCTCTAGTTGGTTGCCCAATATCATCAATGAAAGCCTTTTATTCTACCTGGAGATGCAGCCAGATATCAACAGAGAGTCTCTGAGACGCATCAGAAATGCAGCCAAAACTACGTGGTTTATTCTGGTAGGCCTCTCTTTCTTCAGTGTCTTTCTTTCACCCTGCCCTGCTCTTGTCTTCTGTCTTTTTGTGATACCGGATGTGAAACCCAGGAGTTCACCGATGCCCACCCACAAGTGCTCTCCCAGTGAGCTTCCTCCCCCGCCCCTGTTTACTGTTTTGAGGCAGAGTCTTGCTGAGTTGTCCACGTGGAGCTCAAACTTGTGGTCCTCTGCCTCAGCCTCCCAGCTAGCTGGGGTGATAGGTGTGCAGAACCACGCCCACTCAGGGAATCGATCTTGCAAGAATATTTCACACCATGACAAAGGCATGGGAACACAGATAAAGACAATCTACAAAACAAAGAATATTAGAAGGAAATGAGATGGTTAAGTAAATTATGCTCTGTGATTTTTTTTTTCCCGGTGGTAGGGGTGTTGCCAGGGATGAGATCCAGGGCTTTGTACAAGCTTAGCGAATGCTCTACTACTGAGCTGCATCCCCAGTTCCTGGCCTCTCTCTTGAAGGAATGTTACCTGGAAGTTGAAAATGATAATGACCAGCTCTGCTATTAAGTAGAAAATGTAACATATAAATTTATATTATTACTATTATAGCATAGTATAGCATAGTACCGGTTAGAAATCCATGGAATTATAACAGGGATATCCCTCCATTCTACCACAGCTATAATACGGCACTGATTCTCTCACATGCATCAGAAACGCTGTTGGTGGCAGGGGACACTATGACCATGCACTCTCTGTATGGTATTGCCTCTGACTTGGAGAACATGGGATTCATAATGTGTATCACTCATCACTCAACTTTCCCATTTCTGGACAAAATACTGGATCCCTGAAGCTAAAAGGACAAGAGGTTGACTTTTGCTTATGGTTTCAAGGGACTGAGTCCATGCCCAGCCAGCCTCGAGGCAGGTGCCCCATGGGGCAAGGCATGATGGACCAGCACTCCTTAGTCATGGAGGCCAGTTAGCAGAGGGGGGAAATGGCGGCACCATCGAAATGACCAGACAGAAGGCGCCAAGCCTACACTTGGTGACCCACCTGCTGCAGCAGGGTTGCAGGCAATCTGAAGCCCTTGAGGTTGACAATGTGGCCACATTGCCCCACCTGCCCCTGGTCTCAGTGCTTCGGTTCAGAGCCCCATGTGGTTCCTTGGGAGCTTCACTCTGCTTGTCACAAGTGGAAGGTCCTTTGGTCCCAAGCCCTGAATAGGCCAGGCTGTGCCCTGGCAGGGCCAGATGGAAGGTACAGGAGGCACGGCTGGCCCCTCCTTTTCAAAACTAGTGATCTTTTCCTGGTTTCCTTCTCCTTGCCATCCACCTCCTGCACTGTTGCCAGCACCCCCAGTTTTCTGCTTCTCTATCCCTTTCCTTCCTCGTTTCTCTCTGCCCCACACCTCTGTCTCCAGTTCCTCTTTAAGGGACAGCATGCACTGCTGCCCATCCTTGTCCTGCTCAAAACAAACACATCACAGCCTGTCCAGAGGAGGCTGGCCTGGGGCCCTCTGGGGTGGCCTTTGTCCCTCCAGCTCCCCTGACTGCTGTGTGTGTCCTTGTGCCTTCCTGCCTCCCAGGGAATCCTGAACCCAGCACAAGGATTTCTCTTGTCCCTGGCCTTCTACGGCTGGACAGGATGCAGCCTGGACTTTCAGTCCCCCAAGATGCTGATCCAATGGGAATCCATGACAACCTCAGCTGCTGAGGACACCTGCCAGCCCCCCGGGGGGTCCTGTGTGCCTGGGAAGGTGGCTCATGTCAGGAGACACACTTCAGACGAGGCCCTGAGCATGCTGTCTGAAGGTAACTCTCCAGTTCTCCCTGGGAGCTGCTGCTGCTGCTGCTGGTGTGTGTGTGTGTGTGTGTGTGTGTGTGTGTGTGTGTGTGTGTGTGAGGGAGCAAGCATGAGAGAGCATGAGAGAGCGAGAGAGAGCGTGAGAGAGTGTGAGAGAGCGAGAGAGAGTGAGAGATACAGCAGAGGGCTAAACCCAAGAGTGGAGCTAGGGCCTTTGCAGTGAGCTGCATCCTGAGACTTTTCTATTTTTTAAGACAATATCTGGCTTGGCTTACACTTGCAAACTTGAGAGCTTATTGTCTCAGTGTCTTGGGCCAGTGTTTCTATGCTCAGCTCCTTAGAACTCATATATATATACATATATATATGTATGTAT